TTACGACTCCCCAAAGCCAGTCCTACCATTCATTGATCTGGGTCAACACACTTACACACTGGCCGACAAAGTCCTGACCTAATTCTGTCCCCATTTTGTATGCATAAACTTCTGTTGCCAGTTTAAATAGTACACACTTGTAAGGTTATTAGGTTTACCAGTATGGGTGGGTTATTTAGGGCATAGGCTATCTAGTCTGTACAGGGGAAGGTCTACGTTCGAATCCGCTTCTCTGGCGATCAAGAACGGTTGAACGATGTGTGATCCCACAGCCGATACTGATCTCTCTACAGCAGTGACTACTTTAACAGACATCATTTTAGGTACTCGTAAACTATAATTAACTTACCCAAGCATATGAAAAGTCCGAGACATTCCAGATTGCCTTATGAAAGTGAAATTATACAGGCATAGATTGACACGTCTGGACGCTTGGAGCCGGCAAGAGAGAATGCCGCCCATTTGCGCATTTCAGGCGTTGGTAAAAAAAGGAGTTCCTAGTATACATTGGCAAGGAGTAAATCGGTTTCCACGAAACCTCAAATAACTCCTCTAATATTTATCCAATGGATATACATTTAAAAATGGAGTTAAGTCAAAGCAACCAGAAAATGTAGACATAATAATGTTGTCTAATAAAGGCATATATATATAGATATAAGGGACTATATCTTTCCGGACGAGTCCAAGTTTGAATTTTGTGCCGATTACAGGTAAGTCAAGTTACCAGCCTTACGGACTGATGTGTAATGGCTTATCATTCCACGACAGTCAGTCTGAGGGTCTTGGGATCTAGTCGGCATCGGGGTAGATTCTTGTCAAAATGGACATTGGCTGCCAGGTTCACCCAGCCTAAAATGGGAACTATGTAATGTCCAGAAGAGTAAATGCGGCTGGTTTGGTTTTGACCACATCACCTCTCGTGTAATATGCGCCAAGGGCGTGAGAAGGGTTCTTTACTTACTTCCACAGTCACATGGTGGGNCAAAGTCCTGACCTAATTCTGTCCCCATTTTTGTATGCATATACTTTCTGTTGCCAGTTTAATAGTACACACTTGTAAGGTGATTAGGTTTACCAGTATGGGGGGGGGGGTTATTTAGGGCATAGGCCTATCTAGTCTGTACAGCGGGAAGGTCTACGTTCGAATCCGCTTCTCTGGCGATCAAGAACGGTTGAAAAAAAAAAAAAAAAAAACGGATGTGTTGATCCCACAGCCGATAACTGATCTCTCTACAGCATTGACTACTTTAACAGACATCATTTTAGGTACTCGTAAACTATAATTAACTTACCCAGCATATGAAAAGTCCGAGACATTCCAGATTGCCTTATGAAAGTGAAATTATACAGGCATAGATTGACACGTCTGGACGCTTGGAGCCGGCAAGAGAGAATGCCGCCCATTTGCGCATTTCAGGCGTTTGTGTAAAAAAAGGAGTTCCTAGTATACATTGGCAAGGAGTAAATCGGTTTCACGAAACCTCAAATAACTCCTCTAATATTTATCCAATGGATATACATTTAAAAATGGAGTTAAGTCAAAGCAACCAGAAAATGTAGACATAATAATGTTGTCTAATAAAGGCATATATATATAGATATAAGGGACTATATCTTTCCGGACGAGTCCAAGTTTGAATTTTGTGCCGATTACAGGTAAGTCAAGTTACCAGCCTTACGGACTGATGTGTAATGGCTTATCATTCCACGACAGTCAGTCTGAGGGTCTTGGGATCTAGTCGGCATCGGGGTAGATTCTTGTCAAAATGGACATTGGCTGCCAGGTTCACCCAGCCTAAAATGGGAACTATGTAATGTCCAGAAGAGTAAATGCGGCTGGTTTGGTTTTGACCACATCACCTCTCGTGTAATATGCGCCAAGGGCGTGAGAAGGGTTCTTTACTTACTTCCACAGTCACATGGTGGGTGTGGTGGGAGGAGTGGGGCGGGGATTGAGGTTTGAACAACAGATCCACATCATGGCACACAGGTAGTAATCCACAAGTGCTTTGTTCTTCGTCTAACTCAAGTCTGAGTCCGAAGAAGCTCAGTACAGTGCGCAGGCTCTGTAGCACCGGCGAGGATACTGAAATACTTTGGGTAGATTTCGAACTCCAAATTTTGCCCCGGCAGCGCCGTTAGGCTACTCTTTTCGATTTCCAACTGCCAAGGAATTTTTTTACGTGAGCAACAATGCACACGGGCATCCGATGTCACTACCTAGAGACCAGAAGAATTACTAGAAGTCCAAGTCCACGTGAAAAAATCCCAGCCCTTACCGGAGATTGAACCCGAACCTCTAGCACTCGAGGCGGACACCATGCCTCGAGACCGCGCAGCCCCCACGCAGGTGGTGGAGGGGGAACGGGCCGGGGGATAGACTCTTTGTCCCTAATACGCTTGCCATAGCAATCGACCAATTAGGCGTGTCTCCTTAAAGTCAGAGTACAGCTGCCTGAGAGGCGAGGAACCAACAGTCTGCATGCATTTAAGCCAG